CTGAAACAAAATAATGCAGCCAGTCTATCTTCAAATTGAAATAATTTTAAGGAGCCCTTTAAATGCAGAGTAAATGGTGTAGCTGCTTTTTGTGTGGAAATTTCAAATTGAAAGTAAGGAAATGAGAGGGTTACCATAAAAAAATACTAATATATCCTCTGTCACATCAGTGTCTATTGCTAAAAAAAGTTGTTGGTGAAAACTAAATTGCCAAACGAAAACATGTGTATAATGTAGCTTGAAATCAACTAAAACAAAATAAGCTAATATTTAAGTTTTAATGCATTGAATTAATGTAACTCGATTGAAAAAGAAGATAGCTACTAATAAATTAATAAAACAAGAGGGCCATGATGGCCCTGAAATCGCTCACCTTATATAGGCCCTTGGGAAGGGCTAATTTTAACGCAGGGGCTTTTTTTTAACCAACTAGGTAGGCACCCATTAGAAGATGTTTCATGATAAATATCTAAGCTCTAGCTATTGGGGTTTTTAAAAGAAGATTTTTTAAGTTTTTACTATAGACATATAAGGAAAATCAGAACCCCGGGCAGGGCCAATTTAACCCTGAAATTATGTGCTTTTATTTGTTAAATTCTAGTGACATTTTTACTACAATACATTTAAAAAAGTTGTATATTAGCAACTTGCAAGTTTTTTAAGGTGAAGAAACCAAAGTTCCTGGGAATTAATTAAAAGCTAAAGTCTGAATTAGAGTAGAATAACTGCACCTCAATATAAGAGTTGAACAACTTATTATCATTAAGATTTCCTCGCAAATGAAAATTCAACATTCAAATCGCTTGAGATACCAGTAAAGGAATTTTTAAGATAAATGAGGTACCCGTAAGGAAACTTTTAAGATAGAATGAGGTACCAGTAAGGAAAATTTTAAGATAAAAGTTATCATACTTATGATGTTAAGATGAATTTAGGTGAGATAAACAATGTAACCTTGGTCATAAATTGTCTTCTAAGCTGTTGCTGCTACAGCCTCAGCCATTTCCTCACGATCACCGGTAACTTTCTCATTTGTCAACTTCCTGAGGGAGGTTAATTTTATGTCCTGGAAATAAAGATGACTCTAATAAATAAAAGTAATTCTTTTCAGTGTCAAACTAGAACTATCGCTGAATGCGATTCATACCCCCACCAATGTCCTTGACAGAAGACCACTTGGAAAGGTGGTTAAGGGAATAACTTATGTGGCACAAATACATAAAAAGAAATTATCTCTGGTGAAAAAAGACTAATTGTACAGGTAATAGTATAAATATATATTATCAAATCATGTTCAAAACAGTTACAAATAACCTTTCATTTTCCCAATGTATTAAACATTTTATTTATAAGTCAATTTTTGACCTTCAAGTATGGCCTTGACCTTAATCTGGCACAAGGGTAAAATGGGTTTTGCATATCACCCAGTTTAGTTGAACATTTGAGTAAAGATTGAAGAAAATCCTTCCATTAGTATAGAATTTATAGAGTAGACACAATATATTGTCTAGTATTGGTTGTATGTAAATTTGAAGACTTAAAAAGGGGCATAACTTTGTCAAAATGCAAAACAGAGTAATGAAACTTGACCTGCATATCTTATTTGCCACACCTCATATATCTTTTAAGTTTCAAGCAAATGCCTGCGCTAGTTTCAGAATTATTCAAGTACATGTAAAAATTTAAGAACATTTTCTAAGTCAATTTTTGTCTTTCAAGTGTGACCTTGACCTTTAGCCGGCACAAAGGTGACATGGATTCTGCACATAACCTTGTTGAGGTGAAAATTCTTCCATTAGTATAGGATTTATAGAGCGGACACAACATATTGTCTAATATTTGATTGTATGTAAATTTGAAGACTTACAAAGGGGCATAACTTTGGTAAAATGCAATACAGAGTTATGAAACTTGAACAAACAGCATATTGGAATTGTGACCCTTCAAAAATATTCTAAGTTTCAAGCAAATACCTTTTCTAGATTTAGAAATATTCAAATAAATGTTAAAATTTAAGAATATTTTCTAAGTGAATTTTTGACCTTAAAGTGTGACCTTGACCTTAAGCCAGCAAAAGAGTGACATAAGTTCTGCACATCCCCTGGTTGAAGTGAACATTTGAGCCAAGATTGAAGAAAATCTTTCAATTAGTGTAGGACTTACAGAGCGGACATGACATATTGTATAATATTAGATTGTTTGATATTTGACCTTCAATTGTGACCTTGACCTTCAGCTGACACATAGGCAACATAGATTCTGCACATCCCCATGTTGAGGTGAACATTTGAGCCAAGTTTGAAGAAAATCTTTCAAGTAGTGTAGGACTTACAGAGCGGACACGACATACTGTGTAATATTTAATTGTTTGATATTTGACCTTCAATTGTGACCTTGACCTTGAGCTGACACATGGGCGACATGGGTTCTGCACATCCCCTGGTTGAGGTGAACATTTGAGCCAAGTTTGAAGAAAATCTTTCAAGTAGTGTAGGACTTACAGAGCGGACACGACATACTGTGTAATATTTGATAGTGTTTGATATTTGACCTTCAATTGTGACCTTGACCTTGAACTGACACATGGGCAATATGGGTTCTGCACATCCCCTTGTTGAGGTGAACATTTGAGCCAAGTTTGAAGAAAATCCTTCAATTGGTATAGAAGTTATAGAGCGGACACGAAAATGGAGACGGACCGACGGACGGACGGACGGACCGACCGACGCGACAAAGCGAATCCATTATAGCCCCCCCCCCACATTTTGTGGTGGGGGTATAATGAATGAAATAAAAGTGTACTGAAGACACATATGAGCCGCGTCACGACAAAACCAACATAATGGGTTTGCCACCAGCATGGATCCAGACCAGCCTGCGCGGATCAGGATCCATGCTGTCGCTATCAGTTTCTCTACTTGTTATACAGTTTGTAAGTGAACAGCATGGATCCTGATCAGACTGCGCGGATGCACAGACTGGTCTGGATCCATGCTGGTCGCAAACGCATTACTTTGGTTTTGTCATGACACGGCTCATATATAGAATGTTTGCAAGGATGATGTGATAACCACTGACAGAGATAGTGGAGTATATATCATTTATCAAAGCAGGAAGGAATAACCATTGATGTCTATAAATTGCATAGGTATTTTTCAAGTATTTCAAAACCAACGTAATTGATCTGTCTAATTTAATATATAACAAATGACAGGTATTTTCGTCACAAACCAAAATTTTCTGCCTATAATAATATGTTAATCCGTTCAGAAATGTCCGAGGACTTGTGCACAGAAGAATTTTCTCAACTACATGTACTTATTCATGTAAATGAAACAACAACAAAATATGGATTTACTAAATCACAAACCCTACAATATGAGCTGTCCTGTGAAAGTTTATTTGAAAATCTGTAGAGAACTACTGTTAGTGACCTTGCATACTACACTTTCACCATAAATTTTCTAAAATCACAAAAAAAAACCCAAAACAATTTAATCAAAATTCATGCCAGACTTATAGACCTTGATCAGTCATTATCCAAAACATGTGAGAATTTTAATAAAGGTTGATGAGATATGATGCTCACAACGGGTGATAATTCAGTCAATATACAAGCTAGAGTTAAGGGACATAGATAATGACCATACATGTTTGAAGTTTCAAGTGAACATCTTTAAAGTGACATTATGCCCATACAAGGGTATATAGTGAGTAAACAGGTAAAAGTCAGAACAAGTTTACATTTTGTTTGAATTCCTTTCAATTTTATAATTTACTTCGCATGAACGATAAATTACACACGTTGCCCCCCAAAAATATCTGAATATCTACCAAAATTTACCTGAAACAGTCAATTTATAAAAAGAGTGGGGCAGTCTTTTTATATTTAAGGCAGGATATAATTATATTCTATCCAAAACGTTTTCCAATATCAAGTGTTGGTCAATCACCATTATAACAGTCAATCTTTCGAAATATGTTGTCAATTTAGTTCAACTTGACGATGAAAATATGAGCATAATGTCAATGTTTTGAAGATTGACCTTGCATGTAGAGTAAGTCCATTAAGAGCCATAATTCAGTCAAAATCCATGCCATAATTGTTGGTCTAAAAAAGTGACCTACAATTAAAATTCCAAAGACATTTGTGAAAACCTTCAGTAGTCTTGAAGATTTATCTTTAGAACAGCTAGTAACATATACATTTTATAAGAACTGATTACCTTGCAGCTTAGTATAGCTAAAGCATCTTTCAGAATGTCCTTGGTCTCATTATTTATAGGTAGAATATCATCTACTGTCTCTCCCAAAATCTGTATTATAAAACACACTACATGTATCTTGATACAGAAATACAACAAATATACATTACACACCACATGTCAGTGTTTTCAGGGAAATGGCGGCAGGAACCACAAAAATGGGGAAATTGTGTAGTGCAAGTAAAAATATGTCTTTACTGCAACAAGGGCTTGAAGGTGTTGATAACCACACTTTATGACATAGAAAAAATATGTTTGTTTGACACTTACATTTTCCTGCAATTCAACCAGTAATTAAACATAAAAAATGTGCTTATAGCATAGAACTCTACAATTGGTGGATCTAAATAAAATATAACAATTTCAGTCCAATTTCAAACCTCATTTCTTTTATTCATGGAATTCTACTATTTATATAGTATGTAATCAATATGTACTAAAAATAAACCAATCAGTAGATGGAGTCATAGACTTGAAGGGAAGTGTGGTGACTTGATGGTTAGGTGTTCGCCACTCAACCTAATATTGATGGCTTGGGTCAAGACTTGGTTTACCTTTAATCATGACACTATATAGGAGTGGTTATTTCCAGGGAAATATTTTTCTAAGAAAACAAACTCTTGCCTGATTATCATAAGTAACACTTGCTTCACTATCCCCAATGAATATACATGTATATACAATACAAGGCAAATTTCAAAACTAAGTAAAATTCATTTTTTTAATAACTCACCTCCTGTGGTTATCGGTCATGTTCTCAAATAGGAACTTGTATAATGTCATCCTCTTTCTAAAATATATAAAACAAAATCTACAAATCTTATCAAGCAAAAACTTTCAATTTAATTGAACCCTTATCCTGGTAAAAGTCAGTTTTGGGTTTTGCCCTAATTTGAATATGGAAGTTCTTTTAAAGTTAGAATTTTTTTTTTGGTTGGATTTTATGTCTTATCACAATATAAGGTCATAATCATTATCCAAAGTCTCTGAAGGGATTTGAATCTGCGGCAGCAAGGGACAAAACTGTACCTGTAAAACTGCACATGTGATACTGTATCTACAATTCTGTATGAGTAATAATGTATCTGCAATACCAGGCTTATACATAAGAATATCATATACATATTACATACAGAGCTGTGGTGATATGTTTTACTTACTCTTTATTCTTTTCTCCATTCAATGAAAACATCTCACGATCTTTGTTTGACTGTGTAAATCTGTTATAAACTGTAACCAAAAAATTGAATCAAATTTAACAAAAAAACCAAAAAAAAAACACTTTTTCATTATAATGTCATCATTGATCAAATTATTCTTAACAAATTCAACAGCATCAGTATCTAGATAGTAAACTAGTAATTGTACCATCTTGTATTAAAGTCACAACATCTAAAAAACTTATTCAAGTATCCCCATGTGTTTTATGAAGCATAACATATACATAAATGAGCCGTGTCACGAAAAAACCAACATAGTGCGTTTGCGACCAGCATGGATCCAGACCAGTCTGCGCCTCCACGCAGTCTGATCAGGATCCATGCTGTTCGCTATCAGTTTCTCTACTTGTAATAGGGTTCGTAAGCGAACAGCATGGATCCTGATCAGACTGTGTGCATGCGCAGGCTGGTCTGGATCCATGCTAGTCGCACACACACTATGTTGGTTTTGTCGTGACGCGGCTACAAATATTTAATAAAAAATTTCTTTACAATATTCCAGTACAAGATATATGTGACATTGTATTAGGCAAGAAATGTGTCCATAAGATATGGATTCCCCGGCACACTCTATCATTTTGTCTCACAGTTTACAGACAGAGTGATGGACAATGCAGATCTACAAGCCCATAAGCCCTTAGTGGTGAGGGCATCAAAATCCCTCATAAAATAACATAGTATCTTATTACAATTACTTTATCATAAATAATGTAGATTTTGTCATTTATCCAATTAACATTTAGTAACCTGTGTTACCAAACATAATTAATATGAACAAATTGTGTAGTAGTATTGAAAAAGTGAGTCAACTAAAATGTTTTACTAACTTGTGTGCTTCTTGTAATCATTGAAATGGAACAGACATTCCACAAAATGTTGAAAGAACATGTTCGGGTTTCGTTGTATCAACATATGTAGAAGACAAAACTCCTCTGAAATACAGAAACAAAACTGTGATGTTATTTTAACTGATGCTTTCACAATACTGATACATAAAATAACATTATCATAAATTGTCTAACAATATCTTAATTAATAAGAAAAACTTATATTCATATATTCTTTTTTTTGAAGGAAGAAGCAAATCTATGACCTTTACAAGATAAGACAACAAGTACAATCACCAAAACAAACTAAATTGCCATATTTTGTGCATGACTGAGGCAAGAACCATGTAGGAAATTAAATAATTCAGTAACATTTCATGCTAAGTTTCATGAAAATGTATTTGAATGTGTAATATTGTGAATCAACCAAAAGGAAGCAATTTACACATTATCAATGGCACTAACAAACCATGTGTATTACTAATAAGTGGTCAAAAATGCATATATAGCCTTAACTGCGTTAGTAATGCAGTAGAAATATAGTTGTAAATACTGAAAACTCAAGTCATTAATCGCACATAGTATGTAAAATATTACTTGAATCTTGAAACTTTTTACTTTTCCTTACATCTTAGTACATTTGTCTCAAGTTTGATTTTAATGAAATATTTTGCTCATCTGGCAGCTTTAATGATGAAGTTCAATAGCAATGTATGCTAGAGTTACAGATTTTGGTCAGTGGCCTACATTTATGTGTTATGCGCCAAATGAATACTTGAAGAAGAAAATCAGAAATGAACTAGCAGCAACACATCCAAATCCAAAACATCAATGCAGAGATTAGTAAAACAACTGAACAACTAAAATTAATTTAGGTAACAAATGATTAAGAAACCACTGTAGCACATATTTAATTTGTTCCATCTTAGTACTATTTTTGACTTATTGAAAAAAAAATCAGGTAGATGAAGTTTATTACATACCAAATGCTTTAATTTTGTCACATGTGTCGAGGAGTGTAGATATAAATCTGTAGAAGAGAGCACCTTTCCATTAGATACAATCTTCTTGTAACAGACAAGTTATAACTGTTAGAGTCTGTTTACAAACAAGTTGTGAAGGATCCTTCAAACATGATGCAATGTTTGATATATAAGCATTTGCAGTAGTTGTGTACCTAAAATCAAATGTCACTTTATATTATTAGTTTTTTGACAGGTTATATGGCCCTATATAAACATTTGTTTGAAAATGTAACCCTAGCTGCTAGGCTGTCAGGAATATTTACAACAAATTTATGATACAGCAAACTTCTTTTTTAGACAAAAATGAGAGATTTCTTTATAACATTTATTGACAGAAGACATGTATATAAAATGTAAAAAAGAATTATACATGTACTCTATGTTTTTGTTTTTGTAGCCTAATAGTGCAACCCGTTCTTGTACCCACCTATATAGCCAAAAATGATTATGTATAAGAGATAAGACTGTAACCCGTTTTTTCACACACCTATATACCCCAAAGATATTCTACTAAGAGTGCAACCCGTTTTTGTACATACACACATACGTTAAATGGGTTCAATTTCAGAGTGCAACCCGTTATTGTACACACCTACATGGCCAAGATAGACCCTACGTAAGAGTGTAACCCGTTTTTGCACACATGAATACATTGAATCGATTCAATTTAAGAGTGCAACCCGTTTTTGTACACACCTATATAGCCCAAAAAGATTGCATATCAGACATAGGACTGTAACCCGTTTTTGCACACACCTATTTACCCGAAAGAGATTCAATTAAGAGTGTAACCCGTTTTTGCACAAACATGCAAACGTTAAATGGATTCAATTTCAGGGTGCAACCCGTTTTTGTACACATCTACATGGCCAGATAAGGGTCTACGTAAGAGTGTAACCCGTTTTTGCACACATAAATACATTGAATCAATTCAATTTAAGAGTGCAACCCGTTTTTGTACACACCTGTATCTAAGATCTAAGAATGTAACCCGTTTTTGCACATACATATATACCTTGAATGGCTTCATTTTTAAGAGTGCAACCCTTTTTTGTACGCATCTATATAGCCGGATTAGATTCTTTATAAGAGTGTTACCCGTTTTTGCAAACAACTATATACTCTAAAAACAAATAATTTAACAGTGTAACCCGTTTTTGTACACATCTATATTCACTTGACATATGCACTTTAAGAATGCAACCCGTTTTTGCACACGTACAGACACCTTATATAGATGAAATTTAAGAGTGCAACCCGTTCTTGTACCCACCTATATAGCCAAAAAATGATTATGTATAAGAGATAAGACTGTAACCCGTTTTTGCACACACCTATATACCCCAAAGATATTCTATTAAGAGTGCAACCCGTTTTTGTACATACACACATACGTTAAATGGGTTCAATTTCAGAGTGCAACCCGTTATTGTACACACCTACATGGCCAAAATAGACTCTACGTAAGAGTGTAACCCGTTTTTGCACACATAAATACATTGAATCGATTCAATTTAAGAGTGCAACCTGTTTTGTATATATATACATCTATATATACAAAATTACACATTTATATGTACAATTTCAGAGTACATGTTTTTGCATATACTTAAAACCGATTAAAAATTTTGAGAGTTATTGTACAATCCTATTTGTACTGAACGATGACATTGTATTCTTACATGTTGCTTGTCAGTACGGTTTCAATGAAATATCTGACAACGTTATGATTCAAACATTTATTTTCTGTTTGAAATTGAACTCAATTATCCTGACAGGAACATAATCTTGAACATAAAAGAGTTATCATACACCTGTGACAATAACACATAGAAACACATTGTAGGTCCATTTAATAGAAATGACTCAAACAATTAAAATTATTAGGTTTATTTATCATTTACATAAGAAAATTTATGTAGGCAATTGTAATATACAATATACATAGAAATTATAGAAATGTTTCAAATTTAGAAACTAAGAATTCTAATAATATTTTAAAACATTTTATATTAAAAAGACATGTACCTGGTATATATATTTGATATGAGTGACTCACATTTTTAAATAAGAAACTTTAGATACATTTACATACAAACATGTATTTTAAAACATAACTCATTAAAGGGATATGCTACACAAGAAAATGAATAACAAAAAAAAAAAACAAAAAGAAAAAACAACATTTCAAGACATTAAATAAATGAAATATTAAAACTTCCCAAAATGTTTGTCTATATAAATAATATATAATGAGGTTTTGAACGTATATATTATAAGTTATTTTGGTTTAGGAGTGATATATGTGAATATATTACCTGCCAAGATTTTATATTACCAAAGCCATTAGGCAAGGTTTTTTATCTTTGCAGGTAATATATCCACATATATCACTCCAAAACCAAACTAATAATTTTATTACCCTCCCCCTGCCGAGTTCAGACGATTTTAAAATAAATCATTGCTACTTCAAATGAAACGTCGAAATAAGATTCCCTTTAGGGTCCCTTAACCACAATGTGATGTCACATAAATACATGACTAACTTTCTTTCGAAACAAGAGAAAAAGAGTAGTCTGTTGAACACATTTTTTGGAATTAATATCAAGCTTTCACAAGGTCATATTTATTTTCAATACGGATGAGAATATGTATCATTACTCTATTTTGGTAAATATTTATCATTTGACAGTTAAAAACTGCTTGTAAATCGGAATTAACATCGTGTAAAATCAAAATGTACGCGCATCGCCACTGCCCATGTTGTTTACAACGTGGGGTACCCCATGGGGAAATTTTGTGTGTATATTACCCGTCTGGCTCGGTTATATCAATTTCTTTAGGGTGATCAATATCCAATCAAAAAGGCAGAAAAAATCTTGAAGTGTAATAAATGAACATATGTTAAACGAAAGTAAAAATGCAGATGTTATCACAGAGTAACTTTTAAACACATCATGTAACAAGCGCTACAAAAACAAACATGGCAAAAAGTACAAGTGTGGAACATCATGTAACAAGCGCTACAAAAACAAACATGGCAAATAGTACAATTGTGGAACAAGTCTAAGTCGTTACATAATATGGATACTTTTATGGTCCCAAAGTTCACTTCGATATTTATGCAAAAAAATGAATTTTCTGAACATTGGTCAAGTAGAGACCGCCTGTTTTTTCCTTTATAAGGAGAAATGTTTTGGTACCTGTGACTGCTTAGTGTATTCATTTTGAGGACATAAATACAATATTGGATGAAAATTTCAGAAATAAATAAACAAGAAATGTCAAATGATACATATATATGCCCCCCACCTTTCTAGCCCTTAACTCACATTATTGGTATATTCTGTTATAGAAACTTGCCATAAAAGGGTACATGGAAGTGTTCAGTTGTGAAAAAAGAAAAATAATGAAGAGTTTGCCATAAAAAGTTTTCAAGATAATGAATGGAAACCATTCTGACATTTAAGGTACCTGTGACCTTTGACCTAGTGACCCCTTAATCAATAGGGGTCATGTTGTAGTTATGACCAATCATAATATGAAATATGAAGACTTTGTGATCAATACTTTATAATATAATCAGCGAAAACCATATGGTCTACCGATGGACAGACCGACAGACATTAGCAAAACAATATCTCTTCTAAAAATTGCCTATATATCCTTTTAAAACATATAATGAGTACATTTCACAGAAATGTTTGGAATTATATAAATCAGTAAATTTACAGTTATTATTCATTTTTTTAACATCACACAATAAAGTACATGTAAAGTAAAATACATTTCAAGGAAATAAGTGAAATCCTAAGAATCAGAAACTTAAGGTCTTTATACATATATAACATTTTTCACTATAACACACAAATTGCACCGAATGCTTCACATGATTCAGATTAACTTGCATGTCTTATATATTACACATCAAAACAATTGTAACAAATTAATACATATAAGTTAAACAAGAAGCAGTCAAAATCTGCCAAATCCCCCGTCTATAAAAAACAAGAGGGCCATGATGGCCCTGAGGTCGCTCACCTGTATATAGGCCCCCACCCCCCGGGCCAATTTTTACCCAAGGGCTTTTATTTGTTTATTTGAACACACTTGGTAGACACCAATAAGAAGATGTTTCATGCTAAACATCTAAGTTCTAGCTCATTGTCTTTTTTAAAAGAAGATTTTTAAAGTTTTTACTATACACATATAGTTAAAAACAATGACACCCCTGGGGCAGGGCCAGTTTTGACCCCCGGGCGTTTATTTTAACAAACTTTGTAGATATTTACTTAAAGATGTTTCATGCTTAATATCTAAACTCTAGCTATTTGGGTTTTTCCAAAGAAGATTTTTAAGTTTTTGCTATACACATATAAGGAATATCAATAACTCCCCGGGCGGGGCCAGTTTTGGCCCCAGGGCTTTTATTTGAACATACTTGGTAGATACCTATTAGAACATGTTTCATGCTAAATATCTTAGCTCTAGCTCTTTGAGTTCTTTAAAAGAAGATTTTTTAAGTTTTTACTATATGCATATAGGGAAAATCAATGACCCCCTGGGGCGGGGCCAATTTTGACCCCAGGGCTTTTATTTGAACAAACTTGGTAGACACTCATTAGAAGATGTTTCATGCTAAATATCTTAGCTCTAGCTCTTTGAGTTCTTTAAAAGAAGATTTTTTAAGTTTTTACTATATGCATATAGGGAAAATCAATGACCCCCTGGGGCGGGGCCAATTTTGACCCCAGGGCTTTTATTTGAACAAACTTGGTAGACACTCATTAGAAGATGTTTCATGCTAAATATCTTAGCTCTAGCTCTTTGGGTTCTTTAAAAGAAGATTTTTTAAGTTTTTACTATATGCATATAGGGAAAATCTATGACCCCCTGGGTCGGGGTCAATTTTGACCCCAGGGCTTTTATTTGAACAAACTTGGTAGACATTCACTAGAAGATGTTTCATGCTAAATATCTAAGCTCTAGCTCTTATGGTTCTTTAAAAGAAGATTTTTTAAGTTTTTACTATATGCATATAGGGAAAATCAATGACCCCCGGGGCGGGGCCAATTTTGACCCCAGGACTTTAATTTGAACAAACTTGGTAGACACTCACTAGAAGATGTTTCATGCTAAATATCTTAGCTCTAGCTCTTTGAGTTCTTTAAAAGAAGATTTTTTAAGTTTTTACTATATGCATATAGGGAAAATCAATGACCCCCTGGGGCGGGGCCAATTTTGACCCCAGGGCTTTTATTTGAACAAACTTGGTAGACATTTACTAGAAGATGTTTCATGCCAAATAACTAAGCTCTAGCTCTTACGGTTCTATAAAAGAAGATTTTTTAAGTTTTTACTATTTGCATATAGGGAAAGTCAATGACCCCCAGGGGCGGGGCCAATTTTGACCCCAGGGCTTTTATTTGAACAAACTTGGTAGACACTCACTAGAAGATGTTTCATGCCCAATATCTTAGCTCTAGCTCTTTGGGTTCTTTAAAAGAAGATTTTTTAAGTTTTTACTATATGCATATAGGGAAAATCAATGCCCCCCTGGGGCGGGGCCAATTTTGACCCCAGGGCTTTTATTTGAACAACCTTGGTAGACACTCACTAGAAGATGTTTCATGCCAAATATCTAAGCTCTAGCTCTTATGGTTTTTTAAAAGAAGATATTTAAAGTTTTTTCTTTTGGTTGCCATGGCAACCAGAGTTCTGCATGGAATTAAATTCTTTGAACAATTTTTAAAGGTGACCACCAAAGGAACATTCCTGTTAAGTTTGGATGAAATTGGCTCAGTAGTTTATTAGGAGATGTCATTTAAAGCAAAAGTTTACGGACGGACGGACGGACGGACGGACGCCGGACGAAAAGCGATCACAAAAGCTCACCCTGTCACTTTGTGACAGGTGAGCTAAAAATTGATTCATTTCCTACCATGACATAATACAACAAATCAAAGGGCATTAACGCAAAAGGTGAAGGATAAAACACTGAAGATTCAAGATGATATTTCTGATTTATTTTTGTGTTGTAGCTTGGATAAAATAAGGATACAGTTAATTGTGAGGTTATCATCCTAGAAGTTTGCACTCTTTCACCTCATGATTTTAATTAATAATTCAAATTTATTCTGTGATCTGATCAAAACTGTCCAAGCCAAAATTAATAAAACTCAATTACTGTTATTGCGCAATGCATTATCTATTAATGATGGATGGAATCGTATCGAAAGATAGATAGACAATTTAATTGATGTAAACAGTACAGTTTTTGGTCATACATTTGCATATACCTATACAACATAATTTTAACATGTGATTTAACAAACAGTAAACACAATTTACATGGTCAACATGTTGTTTGCGGAGGATGAATAAGATGTTTACATATATATCAATACCCTACACAAAATCCATAAAATTCCATATTGGCAAATTTAACAAAGCAAAGACTTCCTAAGTATAAAAGCTTGATGTTCACTCTTAAAAAAATCTGTAAACTTTGTAACAGTTGCTCTCCTATAATAAAAGGCTTTAATATATTGTTTTCTAAAATGTTCGTACAACATACATCATATATCGAAATGTTATTCATCTCCAATATCTCTGTTTTGACAAAAAATACAAGAACACTCATTTCTTTCCACTCTGTTTCTAGAATAACCTACAGTATCAAAAGCCAGTTTGTGTGAAAATAATCTTAGTTTTGATAAAGCATTTCTTAACTTGAATGGCAATATATGTAAATATGGTCCAAATCTAAACTCTGTTTTAAATTGCTTTTATATATAGCCTTAATGTTCCACATTCCTGAAATCGTTGGAACCAGTTTCGCCAAGCTATAAAAATTAGATGAAATTAAGCTGAATCAACACAAGATGTGTTAATTGTTCCAAAATCATAACAGTCCAACAGACTTTTTACTGGATATACATTTTGAAGATCCAACATTTTTACACAACATAGCATGTATGACTTTATGAACCGTAAAATATCAAAAGAAATTATAGTGTTGAAATGGAAAGACAATAATATGAAGTTCTCATACACTTTTTTCAAACAAAATTCTAAGTTTTAAGAGGAGATACCTCTTGAAATATAGATGAAAGAGTTATAAACCTTATAATAAACTAGAAATGTGTCCATAGGACACTGGTGCCCCCACCGCGCCACTGTTCTGTCAATCTAATGACTCTAGGTCAAATATTTTTTGAAAACTAAAAATCTTTTACTAAGTAAAGGGCAAGAACTTTACAAATACTGAATAAATCCACAAGCAAACCCCAAGGTGCATAAGTACACATGCTGACCAACATTCTTGTAAACTTTCAGGCCTTCAAGTGAAATACTTTTTGAGCTATGCATGAACAAGTTGAAAATTGCAAATTTATACTACTGTAACTCAAGGGCAATAACTATAACAAAACTGGAAAAAGTCCACATGCAAAGTCCCAGGTGCATAGCTTCACAGTGATGTGAATCATTATTCCTGTAATTTAGTGATGTTGATCATTATTCCTGTAAAGTTGGTTGATTCTAACTCAAGCACTCAAGGAACAGATAACATAATGAAACGGTTTTTACTAAGTCAAGGGAAATAACTCTTCAAAAACTGGATAAATCCTTAAGCCAAACCCCAGGTGCAAAACTTAATATGCTGAGCAACCTTCCCGTAAGGTTTAATGACTCAAGGTCAAATCCTTTTTGAGATACATACGACACAAGTTGAAAATTGCAAAAAATTTCTAAGTCAAGGGCAATAACTCTAAAAGTACTAAATAAATCCAGACGAAAACAACCGGATGCACAACTACACATGGTGATCAACATTCCTGTAAAGTTTTATGACTCTAGGTCAAATACTTTTTGAGTTACATGCGACACAAGTTGAAAATTGCAAAATTTTACAAAGTCAAGGGCAATAACTCTAAAAATAATAAATAAATGCAGACGAAAATATCCAGGTGCACAACTACACATGCTTATCAACATTCCTGTAAAGTTTCATGACTCTAGGTCATATACTTTTTGATTTACATGCAACACAAGTTGAAAATTGAAATTTTTTTACTAAGTCAAGGGCAATAACTCTAACAAGAGCTGTCGGTAGGACAGCAACGCTCGACTATTCTAAGTGCTTGATAGTAAAAAAATGCTTGATACAGTTACCTCCTCCTGTGTACAGGTTGGGGTAATGATGGTGAACAAGTGTGCAAAGTTTCAAAGCCATATGTCAATGGACTTTGAAAATATTTTAACTATTACAAAAACTTTAACGTAAATTCTAAGTCGAAAAAGGGGCATAATTCTGTCAAAATGCTTGATAGAGTTACCTCCTCCTGTCTACAGGTTGGGATCAGGATCAAGGATGTATTTGCCAACAATGGACTTTGAAAATATTTATAACTATTGCAACGTAAATTCTTCAAAGTCCATATGGGGTCATGATGGTGAAACAATGTGCAAAGGACTTTGAAAATATTTTAACTATTACAAAAACTTTAACGTAAATTCTAAGTCGAAAAAGGGGCATAATCTGTAAAATGCTTGATAGAGTATACCTCCTCCTGTCTACAGATTGGGGTTCATTGATGGTGAACAAGTGTAGCAAAGTTTCAAAGCCATATGTCAATGGACTTTGGAAAATATTTGAACTATTACAAAACTTTTTAACATAAGTGGTTACGCCGACGCCGACGCTCGGGTGACTGCAAATAGCTCTAACTTATTCTTATCGAATAGTCGATAGCTAAAAATACTAAAAAACGAAAATACCCCAGGTTGCACAACTACACATGCTTGATCAACATTCCTGTTAAAAAGTTTCATGACTCTAGGTCAATAATTTTTTTTGCGTATACATTTGTACACAAGATTGAAAATTGCAAAAAATTTACTAAGTCAAGGGCAATACTCTAAATGATACTCAGCAGACAAATACCCATGTTGCACATCTACACATGCTGATATTCCTTGTTAAAGTTTCATGACTCTTAAATCTTTTTGAATACGTGCGCACAAAAGAGAAGGGCCGGACGGGCAAGGGGAAATCTAAATGCCCGCAACTAAAATGGGGGGAAATAAAAGCAATGAAAAAGGCATTAATCAGTGAAAAAAAAGATACTAAGAAGATAATGTAAAAATTTTAATTTAAAAATAAAAAATTTTGAAATAGAAGCCTTCAGTACAAAAACTGCACTGAAATGTAATTCAAACAATTTTTTTTTGTTTTGGATTTAAAACCCCAATTTCCATTCGTCTCTTGCAGCCCTTTATCGGCCTTTAAAATAGTTTTATTTTTGTAACAGGCTACGAGAAAGGCCAAAACTTCATTCAAAAGCAGATAGGGCCCATAATTGAGTGTATCTAAAAAAATCAAAAATAACTGGTGTACTCATTTATTTATGGTTTTTTTTACGGGGTAAAAGTAGATTATTATGAGAAATAAAAAATCACAAAAACTTAATCAGTGTTTTTCCAAAAAAAAAAAAAATTTGTAGTTAAAAGAAGAACAAAAGTACTAACATACATAATTTTTTTCATAACTTTTTTCAAACTAAAAAAGTATCTCCGCCACGGATGCCCCCCCAGCATCCATAATTTCAAATGTTAGAAAAAAAATTCAAATTTGTTGCAAAACCCTTTTTTTCATTCTAGGTCAAACCCCTTAATTTATTTTAGTGTCAGTTTTTTTTCAAAAGGTTTAATTTTCATTTAAAAATTTTAACATGTTGGGCCATGATTTATTTAATCTACAATTTTAAATTGCAAAAAAAAATTCTCTACCAGTGATAATAAATGCTAAATTTTTTCAGTTACAAAAGGAAATTGAATTGTATAATCAATCTTGTTTTTTTTCTAGTAGTATACTTGGTTTATGCCATGTTTCCTATGTAAACAATAGTTAACATGACTAGTTAACATTTAAAGGATAGCATTCAGGGACCCATACTTTTGGGTTTCTGCAGACAATAACTTGTACAGACATGAATTTGTCTGTACACACCTCATCATGTGGATTCTTAGTCCTGTTGCTGGATACCTGCAAATAGCTAACCAATAAAAACTGATTTTTGTAAGTGTAGGTTATTTTTCATTAGTAAGCAATTCACAAAGTAAAATGCTCAAAAAAATGAAGCAGACACTTGACCTTTTTTAATTTCGTAAAAATGCTTACAAACGAACTACAACCAATTTAGATAGTTAGAAATGCTTTATTTTTTTTTTCAAATTCTTATTAATTATCTGGGAACATTCACAGGTGGCAGTATCGGTGTTTGGACACCCCACCCCTATCTGCCCCTGGACTCCTACTACAACCCCTGAACCAAATAATTCAAAAACGCTAAGCCTTACTATAATGTACTGAATACAAAACAACCGATAAATATATATATTAAAAAAATTTCCACTATCAAAATTATTGTTAAGATAACTATAATTTTATAGTTGAAATTTTTTTAATTTTTTTTTTCTTAAAAACGGCCCCCTGTGGGAACAATTTTTGATGTTAAGTATTGACTTGAATAAAAGTGTTAACTAACAATTTTGTTATTCTTTTTTCGTTATGATAGAATAAATGCATGTACTTTGTATATCAAATCATTCATTTACGTAAGTGGTTTACATGTGCGGAAATAACAATGTTTAATCATATGAAAAAAGTGTGTAATGCCAAAAAATTGTGAATATCAAACTAACTTTGGGTCCAGCTTGTTGAACAGGGGAAATGCTTTTTGTAAACGAAAACACAGTTGTTCTATAGTCTGAAAGAAAAATATAATAAGATAACCCCAATTATACATTATAAAACGGTTAAACAAGGCGTCCCATAACAATATTACACAAGAAATATGATGGAACATATGAAATTGAGGCTGTTTGTTGTGTACTAAATTATCTAATTTTAAAAGAAGTTACATAGGGTATCAGGTAGTATTTTTTTCCAAAATTTTTATAACAAAATGAAGAAACAGAAGATATTATGCTTTACATTGTATGTTTTACTTATTCTCCAAGAACAAAAACAAAAATATTCATTTTGTATAGTTTTCATATTAATTATCAAGTTTGGTATCAAAAGAATTTATATTGAGAAAGAGTAGATTTAATTGAACAATTTCATTAAAAATAAACCTTCTGCTTTAATATTGCTTGATTTAATAAAATTTTTACTTAAATATTATTCAAATTATTGAAAGCAGCACACCTCAAGATTCATGGTTTAATTTTCATGAAAAATTTGAAAATGGTTTAAAAGAATGATATTGCCAAAGAAACCATAAAAGAAGCAATTTGCGCATTATCTACGACACCTAACAATCCAATGTACCAAAAAAAGCTTAAAATATGCTAAAAATAGCCCTTACTTGCGGTTAGTGACGTAGTAGGTAAATATACTTAAAAATACTGAAAATATCAGTCATTAATTGCCCAAAATATGTAAATAATTATTTTGTAACTGGAATATTTTTTTCATTGACAGTCAAGGTCAATTTAAAGGTCAAAGTCATGATGTACAGTCAATATCCAATATGTTTGTTTGGTAGCAAGTCTTGTTTAGTCAAGTGATAGAATCAAATCCATTGAGCATTTAATAACAAATATTGAGACGAATTTAACAAAATTGCAAACCAATTCTTAAGCCTTTAATGGTCAATGGTAAAGTAAAGGTTCATTCAACCTTTAAATAACATCACTGTCCAAAAATGTTGTTTTGTCAAAGGAGAAGAGAAATCCAGATTATTTTACCGCACGCTTATCTAAGTTAAGCAGTCAATTTAAAATAAAATCAGTGAAAATTTAATCATTCAACCTTCAAGTAAAATCATAAAAACAGCCAAATATTCCTGCCCAATCAATATTCAAATTTTCTGTCATTGATGTATTGAAAAAACAAAGAAAACCTTTAAAAGTAACTGTTTGGAAAGACCCTGTATATTCTGACATTAAAAAAAATAAAAAAACGTACTTAAAACTTTTCTTTTTACTTTTAGGTTCTAAAAATATTTTTATTTCCTTTTAAATTTTTTTTAAAAAGTAATGGGCCTGGCATGCAAGTCATGTTCAATAAAAGTGTGAAGGTAGATTTCTTTATGGAACAAAAATGCCCTTGATATAGTACGGTTACTTACATATTGGACACGTAAAGAAAATATAAAAATAACAAGACACTAAAAATGCAGAAGATTTTACAAATATACAGATAAAAAAGGGTATGTGAAATATAACAAATATGAACAAACATGACATATATCTGACTTTAGGCTTAAAGTAAATTGACGCCATAAGAATGTTGTCTCTCTAATACATTTGCATAGTTTTTCATCAAAATATGTTGATGTCTTTGATGACTTTCTTTTTTGCTGTAGAGAAATAAACATTTTGCAAGCATATAATTTAATCATGGTGCAGGTAAATGTTTTGTTTCTTCATTTTTCACAGAAAATTCTTTAATAATTTGTTGTTGATATTTAAAAACTGCTACAACAGCTTCATTACATTTAGATATATCTAGACACAGAAATTTATATGAAATAATTATAAACAAGAGGACCATGATGGCCCTGAAGTCGCTCACCTGTATATAGGACCCCCAGGGCGGGGCCAATTTAAACCAGAGGGCTTTTATTTGAACAAAGTGGGTAGACACCCATTAGAAGATATTTCATGCTTAAAGGGACTCCACTGAGGTTTTTTGACAGGATGAGACTGAAAATATTTTTTCCTGATATATGTACCATTTGATGTAGGTTTAGACCACTAATCTTTGTGCAAAACTTCAGATCATTCTTGCACTTCGTTTTCCCCGAATAATTATTCAAATTGTAAAAATATGACCCAAAATGAAAAGCGTTTAACCCTTTCCCCCATGAGCATATTGTGAAAAATGGCCATTTTCACTGAAAAGCCTCCTGTTACAAGTTCAAACTGCTATGAAACTATGAAAAATGCTTCAATTACTTAAATCAAACTTGGCTACAAAGTGTTGACTGACCATTGCCTTGGTAACGACATTACTCAGTCTTAAATTTCCTGTTAACCCAATGCAACGAGGGGAAATTCTCAAAATTGCAAAAATCACATTTTGCCTTCGATTTTTTCCATCAAAAAATTTAGTTTCAAAGTGCTGCAACTTCTCCAAGGGATTGAGAAATAGTAGTCAAATGGCTTTTCAGCGTTGGTTAACGTTACCTTATGATCGACTGGGGTCAATTTTTAAAAGCCTCGTCTACAAGTCCAAAATTTTCTTGGCGATGAGGGGGGACTCCGCCCCCCCTTCAAACACCCCCAAACAGAAGGGGCACATCCCCCTTCTGGCAACCCCCTGATGTAATATTTGGAATGGGGGACG